CTGGTTTGTAAATTATTTTTGGAGAAAGTTCTTTCTCATTAGTTGCATAGTTTAATTCAGTGAAATTTAATGTTTTTGAAATAAATATAATGGTTTTACCTTCCTGTGATAACACAACACCTAAAGTTAAATTTGATGCATCGGTAGTTAAAATAAATAGTTTATTATAGTCAGGTTGTGTTAGTTCCACCTGTTGAAATAATAAATTTTTCAACGTTTCACAAGTAGCTACCCCCTCTTGATCAAGGTGTATTATTTTTCTTTTTGAGAGATATTGTGATATTTTTCCGTTTTCCCCTTGCAAATGTTTTGTTAATGGTTTTAAAATAGCGGCATGGTTTTCAATAAATGTCCTATAATAATTCTGTCAATCGTAAAAATCCTCGCAATTGACGCAATGTCTTTGATATTGGATAATTTTGTATGGCTTCAATATTTTTTGGATCCGTTTTAAAAATATTTTTGGTTATTACATATTCTAAAAACCTCCTATTGGTAAAATTTTCAGAAGATATTTTCATATTTGCATCCTTTAATATTTTAATTACTAAATTCAAATGTTTTTGTGTTATAACGTCGTCAACAAAACATGACAGATCTTTCCTATATAGTCCCTTAATACGTTATCCATGACTCGTTGAAAAATGCTTCTTGCATTTTTTAGTCCAAATGACATACGTAAAAAATCATATTTTCCATTGTTTACCGAGAATGCCGTTTTCTCTATATCGTTTTCCTCCATTAAAATTTGTTTAATCCCAGATTCTAATTCGATTGTGGAAAAATATTATATTTTGATTTTCCTAAGTTTGTAAGTATTACCTGAGTGCTTGGCATCCGATATGGTTTTATCGTTAATTTTTTTTTAAATCGATTACTAATCTTAATTTCGAACTACCGTTATCATTTATTTCCTTTTTGGAACAACCCAAACTGGGAAATTGTATGGTCTTTTACTTTTCCTAATTATCTGTTTTTGTAATAAGTTTTGAATTTCGTTATTAATAAAATTATTTACTGACATTGGATAGGGATATTGTTTAAACCAAATTGGCCTTTCCTTAGTTATTATTATTTCCGCTTATTTCCGTTACGAAAAGGTAAATCTAAATTCCCTTCACTATGCAGTCTGAAAATTTTATTACTTATTTCATCCTGTAAATTTTGTATCAAACCTTCTTTTTTACTCTCTCCGAAGGATATTTGTAAAGGTTCTGCTGCCCTTAAGTTATTCAAAAAGTTTCCATTTTCAGAAACAGCTAAATCTTTGTTTTGTTTTAAACTTTTTGTTTTTCCGACATTTATATTGGTTAGCGCTTTAGGACTTTCTTACCCCAAGAGGTTTAAATTTTGATTCTTAATAATATTATTTACTTTTTTACTCTTTTCTTTGTTTTGTTTTGAGGGTAAAAAATTAAGCTCACATTTGATTCGAATACAGCTCTTGCGCTTTAGCAAGAAAATTAGGTAAATCTGTAGGTGCTAAAGTGAAAAGTATTTGGTCTAATGGATAGTTTAAACCAGCTATGAAGTTTTTAAAGCAGTTTCACGGATTTTGATATTTAATTGTGTTGTGATTTCAGATTTTGTCCCATGCGTCATTATTGTCTTGTTTATCAGAGATTGACTTTATTATAATAGTCTATTAAGAATTTCGGTCCTTGTTGCAAAATATTTATTTCCTGGTCAATTAAGTGAATTGGTCCTCTGCGAAATCTAATCGGGATAATATAGCTCCTTGGTTTAGTACTGTTCCGTGATTCGTCAGAATGTCACTTGCATCTCCTACAATTTTATTTCGTAGGATTGTCAGTGCACCGAAATATCGTCTACTGCCTTCTATATAAATAGTCATTGAATTTTTTGCAGCTTCCCTGCAGCTGACGATAGATTTATAAGAATATTCTGGTTAAGATGTCAATGTACTAACTTGGTTTGTTAATTGAGTTATTTCAGCTCTTATATTAGCCATTTGGTCAGCTACTAATCTAGCTATGTGCTCTGGAGTGAAATTAATAACTGACATGAGAAAGGTTGACTGGAAAATTTATATATTATTTCGTCCAATTTAATATTTATACAGTTTTATTTCACTTCTTTTTTCTATACGAGCACTTGTAAGTTTCGTGTGTATCAGTTTTAGTAGTATTTAAGCCTAAACTATTTTATATTACTGGGATTATTTCCCATAAAATATTTACATATTTTATTGTTATAAATTTAATATATCTTAAATATATTTAAAATATTACCTTAGTACTTTTCATCCTTTGATGCGATTTCCCTTGCACTTGCTGCACAAATTCATTATTTGTATTGGGTTTGCTGATTCCTGTTGAATTGCTTTGGCTCTTTGCTTATTAATATCTGATACTCGTATATACATATGTTGGGTTTGTATTGTGATAAGTAACTAAACTGATATTTCTTTATTTACTTTCCTTTGATACATTATTCTCTTATTTATCTAAAGAGTTAATTACATTTCTAGCTTCTTCAACAGAAAGATTGTTCTCTTATGCACCTAAAATGTCAATTACTTTTCTAGCTTATTCGACAAAACATTATTCTCTTAATAACCTAAAGTGTCCATTACTTTTCTATCTTATTCGAAATATCGAAGAAGATCGTTAGGGGTTTTCTTTGCTTATGGTTATTAATAAATTTTGTTTACTTAATAGCAAAGTGGTTTGTGATATTGGTGATGTTAACTTGCACCCCGATATTTTAACAATAAATAAATTAAACAGGCTACGGTGGGCGGGTCATTTTTTTCGCGTCGACAACTATCGTTTTAAGCAAATTCTCCTAGGCGGATGCAGAAATAGCAGGAGCAGAGGTAGACCAAAACTTAGATGGATTGATGGTGTGAACCAGGAAGCTGAAGCGGTGGAATTGCGATGCTGGCAAACTCAAGCAAGCGATAGAAATAATTGGAGCTAATGATGATGACGAACTATTTGATTGCAAAATTTAAAGAGAAGCAAATAATAACAATTTCGTTGTTATATTATAAGGGCATTCCCTAATAATACATATGTACTTATATGCAGTTTTTATTTCGGATTCTTTTGATTTGATGAATTATTTTATTTATGTTTATGGTATATAAAAATTTTAGCGTTTTCAAAAATCTAGTGAATTGTTTACATTGGTGCCCAACAATAATTGCTCTAATGATTTCTTTAATTTTGTTTTTCTTCAAAACTATAGATGATTTTCTTTAGTTTTCTTGCGACATTTTGGATAAAGGACGATACGGATAAAGGAGGTTCTCCAGATTAAGAAAATATATAAATATAGGTAGTGCTGACTTTTGGTTTTACATTAAATAGTGCAACGATAATTTTAATTCAATATATAATTTTCTATTTAATTTCTTTTGTTCCATTCTTTTTATGCACACAATAATATAACACATTATTAAATTTGCGCGTAGAACACCTTTTTGCGTTGGCGGCCTTCGGTAGTGCTTCAAAAAAAAATCTCTGTTCGGTCCAATACCGCGGTGCAGTCAGTTCTTTCGCGTAGAACTTCTTTTTGGCTTGGTATGAATAAATGGATAGCCATAGTTAAATATTCAATTAAAGTTAGTTTTGCACTATCTAATAGAAAACAAATGTATAGAAATGAATTAGTGAAGTGTAAGTGGATACAAAAGTTAAAAATATGAGTGTAAACTTCATTATAAATTGAAGATACACGCCCTTTAAATATTTAAATTTTGAAACATTAAATGAAAATATCTCAAAAACCATAGGTCAGCGGCAACTATATATATCCGTACATACCCATTTTAACCACGAATTCGGGGGATACTATTCTAAATCCCACCCATAAACGAACAAAAACGTAAACTAATAATAAACACATTCTTTCATAAACACAATTTATTTCGACTAAATACTGGCGCGATAAATATTGAACGTTGGATCACGATCCAATTTGTTTATTACAGTTCTTTACTACTTCCATTAATTTCTCGTTGTGTATGCGGACGTTTCGTTAATTTCGTTTCTACATAAATTTTTATACGCATTCCTATTTATTGTTAAAATTAATACTTCCATATTCACCACGAAAAATGTCAAAATTTCACTTTCTTCTGTCAATTCATTTAAAACTTTTTTACTGTTTAGCACACAGCCTTAATACCCAGTTTTACGGGGCATCTCTACAGGCAACGTACACTGCTTACCATCTGAAAAATAAATTGCCACTGATAGCACAAACAGTTACCGACATTCCTCCCTTCCGTACTTACCGCCCGTATCAAACCAAATTTGTCAAAAGTTATGCTCGTTGTTGGTCGGCAGAAATCCCCCACTGAACCCTCCCCGAGGGTGCCGACTGGTAATAGATACCACAGTTTCACAAAGTAAGCGGGGACGAGCTGGTAACAGATCGCCCCTGCCGTAGACGTGAGGAATCTAGCTAAGGTCAGACCTTCTTCTTCTTCTTACCTGTGTGTTCGATGTTCCTCAATAGCACAGCATACAGGTAAGGAGCCTTACCATGGTCGGGGGTACTATGAAGGGCTGGATCAAGGTGTCATGCGACCCGTGCCGAGGATCAACCTGGCTGGGGGCCCTTAAATAGCCCAGTCTCAAACGGAGCTTACGGATACCTGGCGCCCTCCGTAATATGATAGGGTTACTTGCGTAGCGGGGGCTATGCGCAAGCGGACACACATTCCCCCACACTCGTGGGACCATTTATGAACCTGAACAACAAAACGAACAAAAACAAACACACAAGGGAGTCCGGATCTCCACCAAAAACTCCGGAGGGAGCGAGTTGCTCCCATAAAAGAGCAGCGTTTGCAACGAGCTCGTCAACAATCGGCAAGAGGACAGGAGCGAAGCTTGGTCCCGCAGATAAGGCAGGCACAAGGAAGGGGGCAGAAGCTAAAGCTGGCCCCAAGAAAGTAGCAGCGCCGGAGGCAGCCAGGCCCAACCCCTGTAGTCAAAACACGACTGAGAAGCGGGGGGAGGGGGGAGATGCTAAAGGGGCTGCTGCTGGAAGTGCATCTGCCAGAGAGTGGCCCGCTTTCAATATTCAGGACCCGACAAAGGCAAGGTATGCGGAGAGACGACGCGCCGCATACCTATTGAGGTTAGTGGAGTTGCAGCCGCCAACCAAGGAGGAGCTGACCAAGGAGCTCTTAGCATTAATTGAATGCGCGAGGGCGGTCATACCTAATTTTAAACTGGAACCTCCAGTAAAGGCAGCAAAGCGACAGAGGTCAGCTGAAGAGGCTAAGCCGTCAGCCAAACGACCGAAAACAAAGGGCGTGACGCCCGCAAAATCATTTACAGAAGTGGCCCGGGACCGAATTCTCATTGGCGTTCTGGATGAGGGGGACCCCGAAGGAAGAATCCCCAGAGCCCAATGGAAATGGGTGCAGGCTGCGCTGACAAATGTGGCGGTGGAAGTGCTACTTAGCAATCCAGGTCCGCCACCGTCATGCACAGATGCCGGCTGGTACCAGGGCCAGATTAAAATGATTGCATGCGATGACGAGAGATCGGTCGCACTATACAAAGCTGCTATAGCCAAGGTAGGGGAGGTGTACCCGGGCGCAAAACTAATAGCAGTGGACAAAAAAGATATACCATCCAGACCAAGGGCAAGGGTATGGATCCCGGCTACACCATCACAGCCGGATCAGATAATGCAGCTCATTAGAGCCTGCAACCCGAGTCTGCCCACGGAGGGGTGGAAGTTCGTCAAGGCGTTGGACGATAGCGTAGCAGAATCTGGCGTGGAGACCAAAAGGGCCACGATGCAGATTCTATTACTAACAAACGAATCCATCGAACCGCTGGCGAAAAGTTGCGGGGAGATAAACTACGGATTCACGAAAGTGAGAATTACACCGTACAAATCGGACGCCGATGCTGCAGACCATCTAGCATCGGAAAGCGAGACATGCGAAGTAGAGGAAGATCCGGTGGAGTCCTCAAGCGATGTAGAGAGCATAGAGCAAGGTGAGTGTTCTTTCGAGTCTGAACTTGCTGCCAGACTCGTAAACTTGTATACTGAGAGAGAGCTATTAAGCAACTCTCAGGAAGACGCAGAAACAACACTAGTTAATGCGTCTCCTACAAATTAATCTTCATCACAGCAAACTAGCTTCAGCAGCCCTAATTAACCGCATGGCAGAAGAACAGCCTGAGTTTGTCCTCATTCAGGAGCCATGGGTTAATGGAGGGCGTATTTGCGGACTGAGGACACCGAGCTATAATTTAGTTATGGCTAATAGTCAAGGTAAAATCAGAGCCTGCATAATGGCAAAGAAAAACCTTAACGTTTTTATATTACATCATTACAGCAACAACGACACAGTAGCAGTAAGCTGGGAAACGAGCATATGCAGTTATCGGCTGGTGTCGTGCTATATGCCGTACGAGGAGGAGCTGGTGCCCCCTCTGATGGTAAAAGAGGTGGTAAGGGATAGCGAGGCATCCAAGTGCATGATAATACTTGGATGTGACTCAAACGCATATCACACAGTCTGGGGCAGCTCAGATGTCAACGACAGAGGTGAGTGTCTCTTCAAATACCTACTAGGCACTAAGCTATTGCTGTGTAATAAGGGAAGTACGCCAACATTCATTACAAGAAACCGACAAGAAGTACTGGATATCACACTTGTGTCGGAAGTACTATTTGACAGGGTAACCCAATGGAGAGTCCTCGAGGAATATTCATTTTCGGATCACCGATATATTGAATGTACATTAGAAGAAAGGGCCGATAGAGGCATGAACTTCAGGAATCATAGGAAAACGAACTGGGAGGTGCACATGCAAGAGCTGGAAAAACGTATCCCTATGATTCCGCCGTTTCAGCCCAAAAGTAAGGAGGATCTCGACATCCCCGTTGATCAATTCACTGAATCTTGCCGGCAAGCACTAGAAGTGGCTTGTCCAATAACACGAAGTAGAGGTAGAATTAGGCCACCCTGGTGGGCTCTCGAACTTAAAAAGTTACAGAAAGAATTCAGAAAGCAGTTCAATTTAGCAAAGCAATCCCAAGGCGAGTCAGCCTTACTACAACCTCCTTAAGTCATACAAGAAGGAAGTTAGGAGAGCAAAAATAAATTCTTGGAAATATTTTTGTAATGATATCGAGAACACGGCGGAAGCATCTCGACTTAGGAAAATAATGGCACCATCGGTGCATAGTATCGGGTATCTTCAGAGGCCAGACTGTAGCTGGACGGTATCCAGTGAAGAGTCACTGGAACTACTAATGGATACCCACTTCCCAGCTCTGAAAGCCATACTGTTGAATATACTCAAGACAGTGGAGCAGAAATAGACTCCACTCTTATAAACACAGTGTCAGAAAGCAACGTATGCTGGGCAATAAATGGCTTCAAGCCATTTACAGCAGTCGCAGAATTACATAATGGATTGGCTTGTTACCATTCTTAAGGGGGCACTGCAACTACCTTCGCCTTGGAGGGAAGTCAAGGTAATATACATACCTAAGGCAGGCAAAAGCTCGCATACAAATCCAAAGGACTTCAGACCTATTAGTCTCTCCTCGTTCCTTCTAAAAGCGTTGGATAGGCTTAGATGTTTTGCCTGGTATGTCGGACTCGAACATTAGCTTAAGATGACTTGCTTATGTTAATACCGACTAAAAACCTCCGCTATCCTCCAGCCTCGTATCCCCATGGAAACCGCCGCTAGGCATTACTTCGTGGGGGGAGGACATAGCTACTGCTCTGTCTTCTGGTAGCTAAGATGTTATTTTATCTTCCTTCTAGTTGATGTCATTTGCTCTTTTTCTTTCTATGGAACGCAAATCTACAAGGATTTCTATTGTAAATGTGCTAACGGCGTTCCAGGCGGCGTTTGATGACACCATTGTTTCGACTACTGTCTCTGGTTGGATCTTCTGGTTCAGACTCGACGCCAGTTCCTCTCGTTGATGATAAAACCGTGGGCACTCAAAAAACACGTGCTTTGCGCTTTCATTAACTCCTGGGCAGGACGGACACTCCGGTGAATTATCGTGCTTGAAGCGGTGAAGATAGGCCCGGAAGCAACCATGTCCTTACAGCATCTGTGTAAGATAGTAGTTGACCTCACCGTGGTTCCGGTTCAGCCAGACATCGATCCTCGGGATCAGACGATGCGTCCATCTACCCTTTTCTGCGGCATCCTATTCGTGCTGCCAACGTGTGATGCTCTTCTGTCGTTTTTCTGTCTTGAGTTCTTCAGCGCTCAGTGTGGTTGACTTCTTTCGGTAGTAAAGTTTCCGTCTTTCCTCAGCTAGAACTCGAGGAGGTAGAGTTCCGGAAATGACGCATACAGCTTCTTCGGATATTGTGCGAAAGGCGCTAGCTACTCGTAGGGCACTCAGTCGATATACAGGCCCTGCTTTTCTCCATGACTCTTGATTCTCCAGTGCATTACTCCAGATAGATATTCCGTATGTGAGCACCCATGTCACTACTGAAGACAGCAATAAGCTTCTGTTTTGCTTTGGTCCTCCGACATTCGGCATCAGTCGTGCTAGACTTGCTCTCACTGCTGATGCTTTCGCACTGACGTTTTCAACACTGACATTTCAACTGGCCTCCATCAGTTCTTCCTTCGTGACAGGTGGAATGTCTTCGGAATTCAGCTGCAGTGATGTATACATAAAATCACGTTGCCGTGGAAACAGCGCAGCTACGATCTTCAATAGGAGTTGTGGGCACGTTAGCGATGGCATTGGATGGCTCTTCAGGTGGGTCATGACCACCTTATACGGTCTACCCCATGGGTCCCTCTCCACTTCTTCGACGAGTTCCGTCCAGCAGCGTCTTTTGCTTTCCTTGATGGCTTTGTTTAGATTCCGACGCGCCTGTTTGTACTCTGCAACCAGCTCTGCAGAGTTAGGTCGTCGGTAGCCACGCTGAGATATTCTTCTTTTCTTAAGACACTTTGCCCGGAACGTACTGATTCGGTCGTTCCACCAGTGCACCGATGGTCGTTGATTATTACCTCGTTTACGAGGCATGCTGGCGTCACAAGCTCGGGTCAGTCTCGTCAACAGATCTTTGCTCTTATCTTCTGCAGGTCCAGTGATAATCGGGTCAGAGTCTAGAGATACTAGCAATGCACTTGGCTCAAAGGATTTCACTTTCCAACCGATGGTGCTCAGTTGGTTATTAGACCTTCTAGGGCTGTGGTGGTTTGCTGTTTCCCACAGGATTGCATTGTGATCGCTGGCAGTGTAGATGTTTAACACTCTCCAGTTGCAATTTTTTCTGGCAATACTGCTGCTGACAAAGGTTAGATCTACAATCGAGCTTGCGTCGCCTTTGGTGTAGGTCGGCATGTCACCACTGTTGAGCAGTACCACATCTAGTGTAGTAAAGGCCTCTAGTAGTGCTTTTCCTCGTGCGTTAGTGTATTTGCTGCCCCAGTCCACTGCCCAGGCGTTGAAGTCCCCAGCTATTGCCACTGGGTAATACTGCTTCGCGTCCTTGGTCAGTCGATCCAGGAAGTCTATGAATTCAACAATGGTGAGGCTAGGTGGTGCGTAGCAGCTGTAGAAGCGGATGCCGTCTACTGGTGCTGCTACAAAGCTGGCGCTGACATTTTTAACGACTCTGAAAGGGTTGACCATATGACAGCTTTGGTGGTGATGTCTGTCTCCCATGGTAGGCCAGTTAGTTGTTTATAAGGCTCCGATATAAGCACAAGGTCAATCTTCAGTTCACGTACTATCTGCATAAGCAAGTCATGCGCAGCTTCACAATGGTTCATGTTTAGCTGCAGTATCTTCATGCTCGGTTATTTGTAATATTCTGAAGCGCTTCTTGGAAAACCGCGCATTTACTAGAGCCAGCCTGATGGTAAATGTCCTTTAAGTCGGACTTTTCGGCACATAACAGGCACTTTGCCTTATTTGGGCACTTAGCGGTTTGTGATCCGATTGTTCACACTTCATGCAGAGCTTCGATCGGTCGGTTCCACTCTTGCCAGCATTTATAGCAAGGTCGCGGTCTTCTTACTATTCGAATCCGGCAATTAACCATGCCAATCCTGATCTTGCCATTCTCTCCAACTATTTTTCGCGCTGTTGCTACCGGTAGTGTTACCCACGCAGTCTGAGTGCGACTGAAGGCCGCGCGGACCCTGATAGCATTTGTTAGTATCTCGATGCCATCTCCAGCTGCTTCTTTTAGGGCCTTCTGGACGTCGTCTTGAGTCGTGATTTCATCAAGATCACGGATTTCCAGCTCCTCTTGAGGACCTTTACTGATGACAGCTGCATCATCCAGAAGGGCGCCTGCGATAGTCTTCTGAAGCGCGTGGCCTTTATCAGTACTCTTCTTTGAGAGCGTGATAAGCATGTTTCCAGCTGCTGTCATGCGGATCTTGTCCACATCACAGATCTGGTCTTTGGGGACCGCTGCCTTGATCCGAGTCAGTACGTCGGAATACTTCACGTTCTCCTTCGGGCGTACAATCAAAGCGTCCGGTTTCGTCCATTTGCGTGGTTTTTTACGCTTAGGCTCCGGCCGGGGTTTGTTCGTCGGCTGCTTTGAGGGCTGCTCCTTCGTTTGCCTTCTCTTCTCCTTTTTCGATTGGACTTTCTGCCATTTAAATTCCTCTTCTTTGCCGCTGCTCTGCACAGGCTTGGTTTTTGGAGGGCTTGGTTTCTGGTCCTTTTTCTTCTTAGCTTGGGTGTCTGTTAGGTCTGGAGAATGCCTCTGCTTTCTCTTTGCAGTCCTAGATCGATCCTTCCCATTGTCGTCAGTAATTGACTTACCATCTTCTACAGGTCCGGTGTCCATCGCATCACAACTTGGGACACTCTTCGTTGGTGTCACAAGCGGAGATGTTCGGGTGGTTGTTGCCAACATCGGTGGTGCTTTACTGGCCAACTTATAGGCTGTACCGATAGACTTCACCAGCTCTCTGATTTTATGATGTATGTTTTTCTTGTCCTCAATAAAATCAGCTAACTCAGCGATTTTACTACCAAGCCGTTCCATAGGTGTTTGGTTACCGGTGGCGGTCGGTAGTGAATTCATCCTCTCTCGATGAAGATGTGTGAAGACCCTTGCGACAGTTTCTCTACTCGCTGGTAGTGAGTCAATACGCTGTCCGTCAACATCCATTTCTTCTGATCTCCCTGTAGCATTTCTTGACGGCGGAGCCATGGGGTCCACTCCGCTGTTCAAACGTTCTTCTTCTTGATTCGTTAGTTCCTTATTAATACTCATACTTTTTGATTTACCAGCGCATCGTACGCAGAGGAGCGGGTTGCAGACTAAGAACGGGTGTACCCTCGGAGATATTACTCCTACCCCAGTTCCCTGAGGCCTAGTCAACACTTGGCCAGTCCCGGAATTCACGGACGGACTAGACTCGCTCGGGGCACAACACGGTCTCTGCACCGTGGTCAATGCGTACTTCCTGATCAAGGCCCGAAGTGGCTGGCTCCTGATCTACTGCTGCAACTTACACCTCGGCAGAGCAAGCTCACATCAGCCCTTTGCCTGCATCGACGGAATAACGATACAGGTTCCAGACACTCCCAGTGGGTTACAACAGAGACCAATCTTCTTCTGGTCAGGTCCGGTAGTGTGACCAACCCTTCGTAGGGGAGTTTTGTACACGGGAGCTATTTTGTTTCACTCCAACCCTATGCACCCTAAGGGGAGGGAGGGCTTCTCCAATCCACACGTGGAGACGCGCCTGTTAGCAGTATCTCCTCTGCTACAGGAGGGCCATACTGAGTGCGCTTAAGGATCTGGGCATCTCTGAACCTCTCAGGAAATTAATTGAACAGATGCTCACGAGCAGGTCAATAATTTCAAAGCTGGGAGCGTCAACGATGCGCAGATCCGTCCATCGGGGTACACCCCAAGGGGGCGTGCTATCTCCACTTCTCTGGATCCTGACAATGAATAAGTTGCTGTGGGATCTAGAGAAGAAGGGGGTACATGTTGTGGCCTACGCTGACGATGTGGCAGTATCAGTTAGAGGTAAATTCCCTAATACTCTCGCAAACCTTACGCAAACGATCCTGGACGATATAAACCGTTGGGCTGTATCGTGCGGATTAAACTTAAATGCTGGTAAGACAGAGCTAGTATTGTTTACCAGGAAGCATAACACTCCAGTAGTTACGGCACCAGTACTAAATGGTTGCGAACTAACAATTGGAGATAAAGCAAGCTACCTAGGACTAATCTTAGACAGGAAGCTTTCATGGAAACAAAATTTGGATGCTAGGGTTAAGAAAGCAGCCACAGCACTCTACACTTGTAAAAGGATGGTGGGCCCCAAATGGGGGCTAACGCCTCGGATAGCTTATTGGCTCTATACAGCAGTTGTCAGACCAATCATGACATAAGGTATTTTGGTATGGTGGCCAATAATGGAGAAGAAATACGCGGTGAGGCGTATGGAAAGTATACAAAGAGTAGCCAGTATATGCATTAGCGGAGCTCTCAGAACAACGCCTAGCCAGGCACTAAACGTCATTCTACATTTATTGCCAACAGACCTGTTCTGTAAGCAAGTGGCAGCAAAGTCTGCTCTCAGACTAAGAGAATCCTCCCAATTAGTCGCCTGCAACAAGGGGCATTCTAGAATACTCAGATCGTTCCCGTTTCTACCCAAAACCACGGATTTCTGTAATCCAATAGAATTGAAGCTAAATTCCGTCCACAATGTTGCCT